TGCTGCAATTTCATTCTCATTTCCCTGCGCTGCTTACAAGGCACCTTTCTCAACTCTGACCAATTCACTTTGATGGCAGGCTTCCTAATTGGCTGCAAGATGCTGAAACAAAAATGTGCAGCATCACAAACAGTGTTCCACACTGCATCTTTGCAATGCAGTAATCACTTACATTACGTGAGTCAGGCCTGTACTGCAAAAGGTGGTAATAGAATCAGCCAGTTAATGATATTTACAAATGTAGTCCAAATACAGGAAGAGGTTGAGAGCATTTGATGGGTGAGAATGGTCACTATATTCTAATGCTGTTCTCACAGACCAACAATTTCATCTTAACTTTAAAAATAATTATAAACTAAATTTTAAATGACTTTAAATGGAAGTTAAAATATAATTACCTTCAACCATTTTAAACCAAATCACAACTGTATGTGCCACCTGCTTCTAAAATCAATAAATCTGAATTTAATGCAATACATGTATTTATGGGTTTTGTATCATTCTCAGAATAGACAGAAATTATTTCCTTAAACAATGTTAACTAACTTATTTTTGCAATAAATGCACACTGTGTTTTCTCTGAGGTAAGAGCTAGTTTTTTTAAATATTGCACAGATGAGCTTCACTTCAAAGAATTAAAATCTTTCAAATGTACAGATAACCAAGTATAACTAAAAATTACATTTACATACAATTCCCACAATTCTAGTACTACACAGTTTGCAAACATAACCTCAAAGCTTAAGACTAATGCCAAGTGCATAACTTTCAACATACAAAATTTCTCACAGACAATTTTAGAACAATTTATAATGTGTCAGTATACCAACTTCCATATTCCTATTGTTTCCAGCACCTCATAAATTCTTACAAGTGGTAAAGTTACCAATGTAACAAAAGATGTGTAATGTTATGGCAGTAACACAACCACCTAACCTAATAAGCAGCTGGTTCAAGTCCACTTCTGTATCTTCCCCCAGCACCGGCCTGGAAGCAAAAACAAAAATTTCTACCGCTTGTCTCTTAACCTCAGTACCTTCATACCCATAACTGAACCCTTGTAGGTATGGAAGACAATATAATTTTTAGCAAGATCTCATAACATAAGAAGCCATGTTAAAGAGCTCTTTTGTAGCTGGTCATAATAAAGGCCTCCCTGTAGGTCCCTGGTCTCACCAAGTCCCCAGGCCCTTAAAGAGTAGTGCCCTCTTTAATTAGGGCATTGGCCTTAGACCTGGGCCTTACAGGCACCCTAGTCAGGGCCTCCCTTAAGTTGGTTTGTTCATGTGCCCTGGTTTCCATAAGCCCCCAGTACTACCTTGGCTCTCCCTGGCTAAGAATTAATACTTATTACCCACTGGAGAGAGAACTGGATGAGCAAAAACGCTATTTTGGATGTTGTAGCAAAGGGAACACTCAATGCTTGTAAAATGTGTAGTTTGTCACCTTACTACCTGAGCACAGGCCACACTGCAGAAACAAGTCTAACTTCATGAAAATTTCTTTGGTAAAACAGTATTATGTAATCTATACTACAAATTCATGTTCCATGTTGAGGTGCAGGACGTTATACTAGCTACTGGATAACAATAAGTATAAACATTTTATTGTAGTGTACTCAGAACATACTTTAATACATCTAAATAGCATCTAAGCCATTATATAAACTTTTAAATCAATGTGCTCAATTCAAGCAAATATTTTCTAATAAAAAATTTAGTAAGGACTGTAAATAACAAACTCCATCAAAAGTGTGATTAATATGTGCAGACAGAAGCAAGAATGTACCAACCAATAAGGACTGTATGGTGAAGTAAACACACTGTGGCCACTCTGGTCCCTGTTTTTACTCTTCTTGCCTGATAAAGCAATTCTTTGCTGCTTGATTGTCAGCACTGTTGTTTCTGGCTGTTTCATGTTTAAGCTGTAACAAAACACATTCTTAATACCTATCATAATTTATTATTACTTAAGACAAGCATGTAGGATACAATAAGGTACCTGGTCAACTAGATAAAAATATTTTAAGACTGTCTATCCCTTCTAAGAACCAATTCAGCTCCCCAAACATCTCTGTCAGTTGTAACCATTAACATTTATTTGCTCTGCACTTAGTCACAAGTGTGTGTGTGTGTGTGTGTGTGTGTTATATAAATTGTCATACTGCTGTTAAAATGCTATAAGCCAAACATAATAAAATACCCACATTCTAAGTCTGGAGCAATTTCTGGAGGATTCTAGATAAGTAACAATGCATTTAACAATTTGTTATGCCTTGTTCTAGCCACATGTATCATATCATACCCACGTATGGAGTTATATGTCAAAGACCATTAATTTACAATGCAAAAATGAGATGCAAACTGTTTTGGAATATTAAAAGAACCAAACATTGCAGACCTGTCTTCAGAGAACTGAGGACAATAACCCCATTTTCAAAAAACACCTATGAAACTTTTCTGTATAACAGGAACAAATGTACTACAAATAAATGAGGATGTACACACATGAGGAAGAAATATAACTACTATATAAATAGCCACAGGATTGAAGTCTACAGACATTATCATTTGTAGCTGGACTAGTACTAGCAAGTCACTATGAGTAAAAGAAATTTGAAAGACTGAAGCGTTCCAATATTCTGCTTGTGACAAAGTCTATTAAATAAGTGAGATTTCTTGTTCTCACAGAGGATAGTATGAAGATGGCTATCTTCTGGGTTGTTGCGCCATGTAGTCTGGTAACAATTTATCGACGTTTCATAGGTGCCTGCTGCCCCGATCATTACTCATCACCTTGATGATGGAAGTAGCAAACGTCTCTCAATCGTCGATATATTTCTACCGAATTACACGGCACATCAACCCATAAAACAGCATCTCAACAGAATAAAATTACTGCTACTAAAACCACTAGTGCTACAACATACATTCCTGTAAACACTATGTGCAAAATCGAACATAACCCAAAATAACCTACGACTTTTCAGTTGAAAACAATTTTACGAGGTTATACTAATCGTCGTACTATTACCTTAAAACACAAAAATATGTAAGTCAATCACAAAGTAAATATGTTCATAATCCGTGACTCCAACATAATGATAAATATATCAGCACAAATTTACAAGCAATATATCAACTCATTAAAAATAAGCATTACATAGAATCATGGGAAACACGGCTATCAATATCTCCACGGCCTACATTAAATCCCGTTGAAAGGATAATTTGGTGTTGACTTGTGGTTGGCTACTGACATCTATCTTATTCTTCATGAACAAAGACGGAATAAGGAACTAAAGATAAAGAGTTTGGTTTTTCCGGCGGTTGGTTCGAAGACGGCAGTCTTCTGGTTTGTTGTGCCTTGTAATCTGGTAGAAGTTTACCAAGGCCCTCTGAAACGTTGGTAACTTCTACCAGACTACACGGTACAACAACCCAGAATACAGCTATCAACCGGAGATATGGAACTAGTTCTACAGAATAAAATATAATTTATTTTTATTCCGTAGATACTTCACAGGACCAAGCCAAGGAAAAAAGCATGTCATAGCAAAAATACAATACTTGATTATAACACAAATATAAATTTCTTAGTTATGACAGTAATTTACAGTCAACTACAATACTACTGCAAAAATAATTACTTGTGAAAGAATACCCACTATTGCTGACATGTCTTTGTAATAGCTGAAAATTATAAGTTGAAGTAATTTCTTTTATGGAGTAGGAATGAGATAGGAGATATTCAAATAATGCTGGCTTAAAGTTCTTCATATCGTCGTTCAGACTATTTATAAAGGGGGGGGGGAGATTATTGAATAGCTAATTCAAGTTTATTAATGTATTAAACTCTTTTTGATATTTACTGAGATGTACTATTTGGCATATGATGGTTATATATGTATATTGTACTTAAACTTTAGACATCTGAGTTTGCTTTTGAACATGGTTGGAATTCTCGTCTGCTTTGCATATGTAATTACTTGCAGCTGGCCTGATATTACCCAAGGTACAACGCGTACAGTGTACTTAAAGAACTACGACTTTCTTACTAAACCACAAGAATAGGTAGAAAACTAATTCTGATATTTGATGTTTATGTAACTGTTGTTACACAATTAAGTACGGTAAATGGTCAAAAGAAATTCAAATGTTGTTCTCGACTATCGAAAAAGCCCAAGTACGATAAGAATGCATTTTTTGTTCTGTCTTAACTCAAGCAGGGTCCTGAAAATCGCTATTTTGTTGCTACTAGATTCCATTTTTAAGGCCAATCTGCGGAATAAGAAAGTACCGTGGAATCACTGATCCGCAGACAGAAGCGGGGTGAAAGCGCGGCACAGTTTGATAGCAAAATGCACTTGAAGGAGGACTCTCAATTTAGTTAGTGGTCTACCTAGAGTGCGCGCGTAGTCACTCGGCTCGCTTCACACTTCTCAGACGCTTCTTCTACTCGCAGGCTGAGTACAATTTAGCATGTAGTACGTTCTGTATACGAGGCGATAATTTGGGCTGTAGCAGGTTAAACATTCCCAACAGTGACAACAGAATAAGTGTGTAACAGACAAGAAAAGAAAGAAGAATGCCTCCAATTTCAAGACCAGCTTCTTCTACGTACTGGGCACCGTGTTCTAACCGACAACGACGCTTATCGGAGATACCAACGAACAAAATAAATTACCTTATAACGAGAAATTCTGAGGGAGATGTATCAAGTACTGCATCTACATCAATATCACGGCATTACGTAGACCCGTGGGACCTAGAAAATTACGCATTTATGAAGCGTCATAGTACTACAGACGCTGAAACGGATTACATCGTCAGATCAACTCCGGCACTCGAATCATCGCAGTCAGATTTTTATTACGTGCCACATTATCAATATCCAGACACCGATTATGACGCTGGGACCAGACAATTCTCTCCTTATCTGCAGGATCCTACACAGAATTTTTCTGTAGGATTGGTCAACGGAGTTGAAGAAGAAGACTTCTACAACGAACGCTTCGAGTTACACAGCAATCGATATTCTGGGAATTCTGAGGACGCCAAGTGTTATATCGATCAGCCTTCAAGGACGAAGTTCAGACCGACTAGCTGTTTGTATTCAAGGACAGGTATGTTTTAGTGTAGCTCTGGATACGTAAGAATTCTGTTTCAATAAATTATAAATTAGCATAATAAATTTAGGGGTGAACAAAGTCGAATGGACTCGAGATGAAACTTGCCACTACTGGAAAGAATTTTGTTACAAATTAAAAAATAAAACTCATGTCTGAGTACAAAATTTGTAGGTCCAAGCGTTTTCTGGTTCTTGGATTATTGAGTGAATGGAACTAGGTTAGGTTATGAATTTAACCTCGGGATCATAATACAGGAAATATAAGAGGTTGAAGTTTTGTGCGTAATCGGGTTACTATAGAAACACATTTTCAAGCGTTAACACGCACTGATCAAATAAAAGGGTGATTTAGAAGTCTGCAAAAGATGTTCAGAATATCTTAAGCGTCAAACTGAAGCAAGTGTTTCAGTTTCACACTAAAGTAACTTCATATTAAATAACGCATTTCAGTTCAAATTCAAAATTTTACTGTGAGAACTTTAATTGAATTCCCTTAATTTTATACGTCTAGGTATCATAGTAAAAATGGGAGAAGAATGAGACAGTACATAAGCTGTTGATAGATTTCAAGAAAGGCATGATTCAGTTAGGAGGGAAATATTGTATAATATTCTATACTGTTGGCTATACCTCCACTAGTTGTAAGCGTTAATCAACAACAACATTCCTTTTTAGACCCCACTGCAATTTTTGCTTAGTCTTTGAAGTTCTGTAAAGTCTACAAACTTTAACAAGAATTTATTTAGTGATAACATCAGCATTATTTCTTTGGTAGAACAGTCGTGTCTCTTGTGATGTGTAGAATGACTTACGGACAGAACTGTGACCACGCTGTCGTCAATGTATCGACTCTTGGGCCGCCGGATTATAATCGAGAACAATCTGTTGAAAGTTCACTGCAGTCTATTAAAAATGATAGTCTAATAAGTTCACATATTACTCAATTATCATGCTGGCTTGATGTTTTTATCAAGAATACGCTTAAATTTAATATCCTAAGACGAAGACCATCTTGAGATCCGTAGAGTATAGAAAGGTTTCAGCGGTGTAAGTTACGCCACTTCCGATGGATACATCAAACAGCACATACGCCTACTGAGAGAGTAGCACGGATAGCTCCTGGAAGGCTAAGCTTCGCTGAGTAACACTCCGGGGTTGAATCCCCGGAGCAGAGAACCCTGGCAATATAAGCCCCGAATGAGCCCTTAGGGACATTCTCTGGTGTGATCTAGTTCGTAGGTGCTGTTCCCAGCGGGAGTACGTACAAAGACGTGACAGACTTGCATAATTAAATAATAAACGTCGTCATTTAAAGATCATTATCTTAAAGATCAGGGATAGATAGACGGATTTTTTAAGTTTAACGACTAGCTATGGGCTGGACACCTGGGGTTTGATCCCCAACTGGGGCAGAGGATTTTTCCTCTAGCCTCTGCGTCTAGGCCGGTTTTGGGGCCCACCCAACCTCCTATCCAATGGGTACCGGGGTTCTTTCTCGGGGGTAAAGCTCGGCCGGGGCGTGATGCTGACCACTCACCCCATCTAGTGCCGAGGTCAAGAATGAGTAGGAGCTATACCTCCACTCCCACACCCCAAACGACCTACATAGCGTGTAGCGGGACAAACTTTACTTTTTACATTTTAATTATCTTCGTCAAATAACCGTCAACGTCATTGTGTAATAATTCTTATCATGGACTCAGGATTGCGCAGTTTCGGAATATGTGTTAGGTCTAAACTGTAGCGTTTCAAATCAGAAAACTTGGACGTGATTTTAGGTTTCTGTTTTGAAAAAAAAAATCCGACACTTAATTTTAAACCAATTTGCATTTGATGATAAATACCAACTGAATTTTAGACATCCAAATGTTAGCGGCTATAAGTGCACGGAAGTAACACTTGAGAACGGCCAGTTGATGTAAGAAGTAAAACAATATTATCAATAGGCACCGCAGGAATGATATTTGATAAATATAAGTCCAAATCAAGTCGTCTCTAATTCTAAAATACGAATAACTTGCAACTCAGAGTAATATTACTTAGACGAAAGAGTATACATTTTAGAGGTAGTTCACAACAAACTGCAATTTTAGGCAGTAACGTTGTTGTCATTCCAGAGGAAATTAACAAGCATTGTCTCACTAATTAGGGAAATGTCTAGAGAAAGTTTATTTGTAATAGATTCTGAACATTACATTAATAAAGGAATGCCACGCCCAATAATAATGATGTCCACCAAATCAACATAAAATGTTCGGCCTGCTTATTGCCGACGTAGTACGAACACAGGCCCCGAGAAATGTTTATTTTGGTTATTTAGATAATTTTATATCACAGAGATCTTAGACACATACCCAAATATTTTTATTTACAGAACGAAAACAATACATTGAAAAAAAGACTCTCCTCTTATCCATGGCCTGCCATTTGCACGTTAACTTCTCGTAGTAGGAAGCCAGATTTTTGCGTATTAAAACGTTCAAAGCCCAACAGCTGTAAACCCAAATGGAGAAATTTCGCCCTTCTGTAGGCCTGATCGTGAAACTATCATTTCTCCCGACGTCAGGGCGACGCCACCTTCTTAAATAATAAATTTAAGGTCGGTAGTGAAAATATGAAGTTGCCCATATGCATCATTAAGCACCACGCTTTGAGAATGTACGTGGGAATCGGATGTTAACGCCACTCATTATCCTCGGCCCTAGATGGGGAGGAGCAATATGCTTCACGCCCCGACGTCTTTATTCTCAGAGAAGGATTCTCCGGTACTCCGTGGATCGGACGATGAATGGGTCCGTCCAGGGCTCACTGCGCGCTGTGGTGAAAATAAAATTTCTTATCACTTCCGGGGAGCGATTTCGGGTTGTCCTACCCAGAGGCGGCCTCTGAAATGAAGATTATTGTACAGAGTAGGCCCGCCTGTTAGTGACACAAGAAATGCTCTCACATTTTATCTGAAAACTTGAAAGGAGAAAACCACATCGGAGACCTAGGCGTGTGTAATAATATAAAACTGACGGGACACACAGGTTGTGGAGTTGAACTTCCTCAGTATGTTAAGTCCAAGATCTCGGGCGATTTCTCGATGAAGTGTTAAATCTGTGACAAGAGTTTTCTGGGCAGTCGAGAAGAGCTGTATCAGAGACAGCGCCCCCTTCCATTACTTCCGTTGCATGCACAGCTCTTAAACGGAAACAATAATAATGCTGCTCACATTTGTATTCAACGCTTACTCAACGCCCGGATGTTGGAAGCAGCAAGGACCTCTGAAACATTCGTAACCTTCTATTGGCCCAGAAGACTTCGTAATCTTCATTATTATCAGCCTTCCCGTACAAAGCCAGCGCCTCTCTCTCCAATGTTCTCAGTGCATGTCATTGGTAACAGCGAATTTGGAATGGAATTCTTCAGTGTGGCGGGCGTTCAGAGAGATTTTCCACTTGGACGTATGAAATTATGAGTTTCTAGACTAATTATTATGATTATTATTACTATTATTGAGCAGAAGCAGTGTCAGCTCACATTGGAGGTCACTGACAAGGAAGTGTAGACGTAATGTAGTGGATTATGTATCTCGAAGTATTTTCGAACTGCGAAATATTTTTGGGTCTTGGAAAAAAAACTTGCAAGCGCAAGGTTTCTCGTGTTTGATAATCAGTACTTCTGAGTCTGCGATGAAATACTGGTTTAGTATACTTAATAAAGTTTAATTTCTACACATCCCGCACACGAAACCACGGTGGGGAATCCTCCATCGCAGTCGAAGAATCCCACCCAAACAACGGTCATTGATCACAGACAACTCTGACGTAACAGACATGATTCACAAGGTCGTCGACGCACGAAATAACAGCATTCACGACGTGAAAATATCAACATAGTTACGCTGTATATTTCCTCACTTGTTTATTTTTACAGTGAACTGTATTTGGCTAAATCAAATTTGATTTCAGTTTCATGTAAAGTGTAAGGTACGTTGTATTAATACGAACCAAAAGTATAACAGTGGACACATCCTCCACAAATGGGACCATTTATATTAGACAATCCAATGCCACGCTTGTAATGTTGGTTAGCCCTGTCAGCTGCACAATATTACTTTTAACAAATGAGCATTGTGACGAACGAGGGTCGTGAAATAACAAGGAACTATATTTATGCTCGGAACTCCGCCATGGTTAACCAAGCCTACGACGCCGCTTGGTCACAGCAGCTAAGTTGCATTATTAGAGGTTAGGTTATTTTGTTGTTGTGTTTATCGTTGCATTGTTGACAGTATTTTGGTTAGGAAATACTCCTTAATATTATGAAATTAGCTGAGTCGGCATAATATACAGAGCTCACGTATCTGGCAGTAGCATAGGTTAATTTAAATCCTGGAATTCATTTAACATTAAAGAGAATACATATTTTATAAAAATATCTGTTCTAGAAGTTTTCTATTAATCTCATACCGTGTCTAGTTAGTGGTAGAGACATTAACACACTCTTGTAGTAAAGGCAAAAGAAGATTCAAATTAGATAAAGAAGAAACAGTTGGACGCATTCATTAGTCTTTTTTTCCTGTCGGATATAAAAACAACAGCTTTTACCCTGGTTTGTCACAGGAGGCAGCACATGTCCTACTTCTCGCTACCAGCTGTAACATTATCTCGGTCATAACACCGGTTCATCTATACGACAAGGATGACCTAGTCAACGGCTGCGTGGCTTCTTAAACTTTATACCATCTCAGCTTGCTGCATTTTCACACACGTTCATCGACAGTATTTACACAGTGACCTCGTATTAAAATAACACGCAGCTGTTTTACTCTTTTCTTAAAATTGTGTCTTCTTTTTTGTGTGTTGTTTGTATTAAGGACAGGATTTGTAAGAACAATGGGTTCGTAACATTTCAGACAGTATGACGAGATGCTTTTGTCTTTTTTTTACCGGTAGGAGACACAGTTCGTGGTTGACATTTGCTTAACCACGGTGAAGTGTTGCGTTTATC